ACGTACTCATCAAAAGTGAAAGATAAAAAGTGCCTGCTGGTAAAAATACCATTTGTATAAATTCGTGCAAAAGTTTTTGATCTTGGCAAAATTACTCAATTCACAGTAGGCTTTTAATTTTCTATCCTGTTGTACGAGTATATAAAATGAGACTGTATAAGTCTATAATGAAACAAAGATTACCGATTATTTTAATTCTACTGATTATTATAATTTTATTGATGTTTCAATTAAATAATTACGCAATGTTCTGCAGGTAAGATATCCATGAATATTGAATGCTTTCAATTATGCGTCATTTTTCCTGGATTAATCTAGACGCGCATATCAGGTCATGTTCCTCAAGTGAAAAAGAACTCTTTAAATCGATTTTTGATAGTCCCTCAAAATTGAATTATACTGTACTTTGAAGAGGTTCAGCTCGGTACTTACTCAAGTACCACTTTCACCACGTTTTTTTTCTCTTCAAATTTTAGAGAAAAAGAGGGTGTGCGCGTCATAGGCGGGTGTAAATTTTTTTGAAGTTTTAAACGTTTAGATGAAGATTGCTGTATTTCCGATTCTAATGGAAATTTTCCATTCACAGAAAGCTTCTCTTAATGGAAAAAATTAAAAATTGGTTCATTTTAGTATCAATTCATGTCTAAAATCAAATTTGGATGCTCGTACTTTTAAAGTACAGCTTATTGCAGTTTTAGATTCACTAAAAAATGAGATGCGCATCTTATACTTGTGTATGAAATTTTATTTAAAAATTCGATTGAAAAAAAACTCCAGGTGTGCGTCTTACTCCATGAGGGTGAAATTGTACTGGAGTAAATTACACTCAGCAGTGTTCCGCAAGGTTTTTGGGCCCGCGGATTGACAAATTTCCATGAAATTTTTCGTGGACCAATAAATTTTCAAAATTTTTCGTGGACCAATAAATTTTCACAATTTTTTGCAGACCGGAAAAGTTTCATACTATTTTTCCAGACTCAAAAAGTTTTGTCTGAAAGACTACATGGCAGTTAAATCTAAAAAGCTTCTCTTTTTTTTTCAAAGTTAAGAAAAAATGAAGCAGTTATGGTGAAATGTCTTCAGCAAATCAGAAAAGGTGGGGTTGAAGAAAGGTTAAAAGAACAAAAAATGTTAATAATTCATTTTATGAGACGAAAATGTGTCCACAGCAGTGCTGTTAGGAGAAAAGACAACATTTAATTTTCTTGAGATAATTTTAACTTCCATTGTTTTGCCAAAATTTCAGATAAAAAAATACTGTGACATCCTTTATTATAGCTACTTTTGATCTACTGTATTTACTTGAGTACCATGTGCCTGCAAGTAAGGCTTGCACAGTGGTTTTTCAGTTGGAAAGTTTGTTAAAATCTTATCCTCAAGTAAGATGTGCACTCATATTTTTAGTGAATCTGAAACAACAAAATTTTGAAAATAAAAACAAAAAATTGAATTTAGACATGAATTGAAAAAAATCTGATCAATTTCCAAATGTTTCAGTGCAAAAAAGTTTTCTTGTTATATTTGTTCCAAAGTTCTCCATTATAATTAAGTATAATGCGCACATAACTTCCTAAAACTTCTTGGAAAATTTGTATCCACTCATGACACGCACCCCTTTTTTTCTTCTGAAATTTGAGAAAAAAGGTGCACTTGGTTGGTACTCAAGTAAATACGGTATTATGCTGGAGAAAATTTCCCGCGGACCAGCAAAAAAACTTTAAAAAGAGACCATGGGGTGGGGATCGCTGAATTACATCAGGATGCAATAAATTGCTAAATTTTCTCTCTCTCCCTCTTCGCAGGTACATTTTAATTTCTCGCCAGCACTTGTACGACAAGGTGTTCCGACCCCTGCACGTGTACCTCATGGTGGCCAGCACGTGGCTCATCAGCTTCGGCATGATGGCGCCGCCCTTGTTCGGCTGGTGGGGTCGACTCGGACTCGACCCCCCGACCTTTTCCTGCACCATCCTCAAGAAAAACGGCAGGTCGCCCAAGAGCATGTTGTTCATCGTGGGCTTCCTCATACCGTGTCTGGTCATCGTCGCCTCGTACGGCAGCATCTTGTATCGTGTTCGCAAGAGCCACCACAACTCCATGGGATCCTCCAGGTTATTTTTCTTTATGGGTATAGTGCTCTACTGTGTACAGTGTGGGCCAAAAAGAAGTGAACCAATTTTTGAATTAGAAAGTAAGCTTTGTTGTCCCTTACCCTTTAAAGGACTGTGAGTTGAGTTTACAATATGTACAGTATACAGTGACCCCCCGCCTAACAGACCTCCCATGTAAGGGATTTTTGCCAAACAGACCAGCTCTGCAAGCAATTTTTCCTCCCGCCCAACAGACAAAATCCACCAAACAGACTTCTTTTGGTTAAAAATTAGTGCTGAAAATTGAAATTTTTAATTTTTTATGCAATTGAATTTGTGTAAAGGACTTTTCGTTGAACAGACTCGTCCCTTGCACGAATCAAGTCCATTAGACGGGGGTTGACTGTATTCATACACTGGTTCAACAAGTACAAAACATACAAGACATACAGAAACAGCTTCAAGTCCCAAGGAATGAGAATATTTTCTATCCATCAGCTTTAAAGTTAAAAGGTTAGCTAATCCTTACTTGTCTGGCCAACCTCTAGAAAGGATCTGAGTCTTTGAAAAGGACACACTCCATTTAAATAGACTCTGATAGGAACCAGGAAGAAACACACCCAAGTATGCCTTTTCCACACTTTGTGACAAGAAGGTTAAAGAGCTTGGTCATGATAGGGAGGTCAACTCAGGTGAAGGGGAGTATTCCTTTCATCACATTTCTTAAAGGCCAGAACGTGCAAGAAAATCCTGACCTGTACATTACTCTATTTGCTAAATGAAGAGAGAATTAATGAGGCAGGTAAAAGTGGAATACCGCAAGAATTTCCTTCCTTTTCCAGGATAACAGCTGCAACAATGAAAAAATACACCAAATTCAAGCTTATTCAATTCTCTTTAAACAATTTTTTCTATTTTATAGTCTTAAGTGTCATCAAATAGTCACAAAAACTGTTCAAATGAAAACTTTCAACAGCAAAAAAATGCTGTTGTGCCACTCTTCCTGCTAAGCTACTGTCTCCAAAACCTCCCAAAAATTACCCTGACATTAGGACAACCCACAGCAGTGCACCAGCAATGAAATCCAAGATAAATACAGACAGGAAAATAAATAAGCACATGAAAACCTACGAAGGCAAAAACCAGCAGGAAACACAAAAATCATCATGCGCATGAGGCACACAAAAATCCAAGATGCAAGAAATCATGCCACCAGACAACCACCCAATCAGCTCAGTCAACATTAATTGGAAAATGAGCTGGAAAAATAATGCCTGGGTGGACAGAGCAATGCCTAAAAATCCTGCCATGGTCCAATTTTTTTCAACAGAGATGTCTTAATTCAATAATCGGTTCACTTTTTTTGGCCCACCCTGTATATATGAAACTGTCAGCAATATGTCGATATTTTATATATGGGGTATGCAGTATGTGTCTCGTCCAATAAACAAAATATACCCCCCCCCCCAGAGAGGAAAAAAAATTGTTGCGAGGTGAAATTTATTTGTGGGAAAATTTTGACTCACATGACAAAATTATTACAGGAGGTGATGAAAAGTATTTAGCAAAAAAATAGGTAGAATTTCGATGATTTTTGAGTCAAGCTCTTGAAATTTATTAAATTATAGCAGAAGAGAGAAAAATGTTAATGCTTACCTTTCGCTTGTGTTTTCATTCTCTAATCTTAAATTGTGAATTTCAGAAAAAATTGATGAAACTGAAAATTGTTTGCAAGCTTCAATTGAATACAGCTGGACTCCCTCTAAAACGAAATTCGGGGGACCAGAAAAAATCCTTCTAGAGAGCATCTTTAATATGTGTAGGGACCCGTTTGGGACAAAAACTCGTTGTACAGAGAATATGTTAGTGAAAAAATTGTAGCAGAAAGAGAGTCTACCGCCCTTTACTAATAATTTTGAATTCGAAAATCGTTTATCGATACATTTCCAAGTGCTCAATTTTTAATGTTTGTCACGGGTATTTTGTGTGAGTCTGGAATGGATGACATTTTTTATCATAACTTGAAAGGAAGAACGCTTTGCGTCACAAAAATTTGGCATAACGAAACGCATCCTTTATTACATGAATTATAGAGAAAACGAATTTTCAAATTTTAAACCTCGTGGTTCAGCATTCCAGTTCAGTTGATCACCGTATGTTTTTTTTCTGTGCTACAGTATTTGAATTCACAGGAAACAAATTAGATGGAATATATAAGTAATCAATAAATCAAGTTTCCCCTGATCAACTTGATTTTTGCACACTAACTTCGTGATACCTAGTGGTGAGCTGTTGACAATTTTTAGGAAATAAAAAGATTCAATGGTTGAATACGATATCTGGGTTATTTTATTTCCCCGGCGAACTTGACTTTCCTAATTGGTGAAATAAAATGTGCGTAGAAAATTTCCCTGCAGATCCTGTTTCGGATATGGAATAGATATCTGAAAACATGATTTTCGACAATTTGCGAACACAGTGTATCCCAATTCATGAAAAAAGGTTAAGCACTGTATATATATATATATATTTACAGTCGGAAACGGAAATCGGAAGAATGGCGGCTGACGAAGATGATGATCGCAATTTTCTGCGCATTCCTGGGTTGCTTCCTTCCGCTAATGATCGTCAACGTCGCTGACGACCACGTGAGTATAAAAAAACCGCGACGAGTTTGATTTCTGCGATTTATTATTTTTTCTTTTCCTTTTCCAAGAACTGCTACGAATCAAACATTTTCCAGGCTTATTCATTTTTCTCTCTGAATCATGCTTAGTTTCTCATCGAAAATAAGGACGAATTGTACGAGTAAATTGTACTTCCACAAGGCACTTTTTTTTGCAAACATGAAGCTCGTATTTTGGACACCAAAATTTGGTCTTTTGGAATTTTTGCTTGGATTTGACTTATAGAATTCTCACCTTTAAGAAATCTGCCATAATATCTAGACAAATTCCGAAGATATGGACTTAGCAAGCATTTCGAAAAAAAATGTTTTACAAAAATATTGATAACCTTTTAACAAATTGAGCTGTTGTCATATAAAAATAATTTTCTCAATGCATTATTCAACTGTCGAAAAATAGTACGAAAAATCCGCTTTAAAGATGACCTTCGCAAAATTTTCAGCGCTTCGTGCCAAAGGTTGACGATAAAAATGATTCCATTTCTCGAGCAGCCAGGGTTAAAAAAAATTTTGCTGGCGGAAATTAAATGTCAATAAGCGCCTTATATGAAAAAAAAATATTTCCTGCAGAAAATAACCCGCAGCTTCCTTTCAATAATGTAAGTACTGTACAGCAGTATTTATTTTTCATATCTTGCTCAACCTCCCTGTCGTACTCTATTCCGCAGTTCTAATAAGCTACTGCTGACGACTGCTTGAGACCTGATGATGAAGAGCTAAAAATAGGGCAAAAAAGTAAATAAACCCTTGATGGTTGATTGCATGGTCGTAAATCAAGTTCCTGCGTCACCAAAAAGGAGCAGTCTATAAAAAGACGAAGACCCCGGCAGTGATGTTTGATTAAGCGCCTGACGCATTAAACGAGGCCCGGGTTTCCCAGGAATTTTCCCGGTCGACAGTCAATTGCTCCCCATTTTTCGTCCCTCCCACCATCTCAACAGCAAACTCTGGTCTGAAGGGGGAAATCCCCCATATAAAAAGTCTTTCAGTCCTGAAGATGAGGGAATGATGTTTTTCTATATATACAGTAGTAAACGAGGGGTCCAACAAAAGTTCAAGGAATATAAATTGAAATGGCATGTACAGGTTAACCTCCATAACTCGAACCTCCTTAAGTGGAATACCCCCCTAAGTCAATTTGTTTTCAGGTCCTGTGACTCCTGTCTGAATCCCCTTATACAGTTGAACCCTGTTAAACTGCCCCCGGATTAACCCCCACCCTTGCTTCCCCACCACTTTTTCCTCCCAAACAAATCTTCCCAAGCTTGAAGGGATGGGAAAACCCAGTTTATCCCCCATCTGCCAACTGCCAATGTTTTTTTGCCAAACAAACAGAATCTTGGCACTGTTTTTTACCCCAATAAACCACCAATTTTTGACTCCTCTCTTCAAGGCTTTATATTTCTGGGTAATATTTTTTAAAATTATTTGTTTTCTCCATTTAAAGATGCAAATAATGAGAGATTCATGTCCCCACAAGAATGAAGAGTCATCTTCACCAAAAGCAGGATGGGGAGGGATAGAAATTGAAACATTAAAAAAAATCAAATACACTTATTCATTCATTAAATATTGTGACAACCCCTCCCTCGTTAAACTGCCAACCCCATTAAACCGCCAACCCCGTTAAACTGCCAAAATTCTGCTGCACAAACATTGGCGGTTTAACAGTGTTTGACTGTAATTAATGCATTTAAAACCTCCCTAAGTCAACGGCTTTTCCCCTCAAACCTTCATAAGTCAAATTTTCTGTGGCCTGTTGGCCATTATTTTCTTGAAATTCTTTTACTTTTTTCGTTATTTTTGTCTTTCAATACACAAAATTTCTTTCACTTTCTGAATTAACCCGTTTACTTGGGGACGAAGATTCAAGTCGTCTGAAAGTTGAGTTAATTCTTCGGTAAATGTTTTTTTTCCAAGTTTCCCAGGAAAAAGGGCTTTGTATTGTACATTCCACCTATACAATTCAAAACCTCAAGAATTTTTTTGCAGGTCCCTTGAAATTTGACTTTGAGAGGTTTGACTATAATTGAGCAGAAAAAAATTATTCTTTGGGGTAAACATATTCTTTTGCACAAGAAAAAAATCAGCCCTGTTTGACAATTTTTTTTCATGTTTTGCAAAAGTCACCGGCCTTGGCAGAGTTTTGCTTTCCACTCAAAAGATGAGGCGCCCTTCCTGCAGATTTTGTTATTGTAGCCCAGCTTTCCCCTCAAAATTCTTTAAATCAACTTGGCATTGATTCCAAGGGTTGCCTCCAGGTCTTCCAAGGTACTTCTGCCATTTTCAACAACAGCCGCCACATTCCCATTCCGGTTGGTGGCTGTGAAGGCGTCTGTTGATGAAAATGGCGGAGTTACCTTGGAAGACTCATATATACAGTATATTGGAAGCAAAAACAAAAAAAGAGAAGGACATTTATTTAAAATGAGGACGAAATTCCCCTGGCGGAGAATGCCGTTCGTTTTTACATCCCGAGTGCGGCAATTTGTCAAGAGTATATACACATATGCGGGAAGCAATTCTCTAACTCGGGGGTCCAGCCTTGTTCTATCAAAATAATAACGTCTCGGTACTGTCGCGTAGTTGGACTTTTTTTGTTTTTGTTTTTACAAAATCTGTGCTGGGGAAGAAGGAGGGGGGGGGGGAGGAATTTGTTTCGCAACCATAAAACTGCTGTTTTGAAAAACTCTGTACACGCATCCCTGCTCTTTATTGCAGCGAATTGAAATTTGTGAGACACAATTTCCGATTTTTCGAGAGAAGGCATCTCAACAAATTTCGCAATCAATTTTCGAGAGAAGTTCAGAAATGTTTCTCTACCCATCATATGTTCCTAGAACATTTGTTTCAAAAACACATCATATACCACAGCACCTTAAAGCAAATTTCTGCATCATTTCTGAGTGGAATAATTTTTCAAATGACCTTCGAGTCTTCAAATGGGAAACCCGCAAATTTTTTTCTCCTACATTAAAGCAATAAACCCACGAAGTTTCAGAATTCTAGAATCTTCACTTTTGAAAGGGAAAGTTTTCTTGTGGAATCTCGAAGTTAAGTAATCATTAACCAAGTACAGTAAATTATTGTTTTATTACCGTTCTACAATTTCGATAAAAGTGTTACACCAGCAAACTCACTTCAACTTTTGAACGATCTTCGGATGGGAAACACGCAAATTTGTTCGCTTACTTCAAACCTCTCAAATAAAACACATAAACTTCATGTATCCTAGATTTTTACGGTTTAAAGGGAAAATATTCTCGTGTTATTTCGAAAAAATTCATTTACAGTGAGACCCCCACATGCGGACGCCTCGACCTGTGGATAATGTGACATAGGGACACTTATTTTCCCAGAAATAATTAATAAATAAGGCCCGACATGAGGACACTGACTCGGCATAGGGACATTTTGTGATTAAATTGCAAATACATTTCAGGCAAAATTACACAAAACAGATATTTCCAACCCTAAAATTGATATAAGGAAAGTTCTTGGGCATTTTTCTCACAAAATTACCATCCATTTAGCTAATTAAAACAAATTACCTCCAGTACAGAGGGACTTCAACTTTTTTTCACTTTAATGTAATTTTTTTAGATGCCAAAATTTCAGTGTACAGTACAGAGATACACTATTCAATGCTCCAAATGTTCTTATTGAGTTCAAAATGTATTCGTACAGGGCTGTAGACTCTCATTCTACAACACTTTTTCCACTAAAATTTTCCCTCTATAACGATTTTTTGTCCCAAATGGGTCCTAAAATTATATAATGTAAGTCTATGGGAAAACAAGACTCAACCTAGGGATATTTCAACTTGGGGACACTCTTGATGCACCAATTACGTCCGCATCTTGGGGGCTCACTGTACAGTATTGTAAAAAATGGTATTACCCTGCTGGTTTAGAAATAGTTAATAAAATGCAGTGCAATACTGTTTTAATCCTCAAATTTTGACAAACTGTGACACCAAATAACTCACCTCCAGCAATTAATTCACATCAGGTGACAGTGCCCTGGATTCACGTGATCGCCTCAGTGCTGGCCTGGGGCTCGTCCGTCATCAACCCGTTCATCTACGCCTTCAGCAACCGACAGTACCGTAACGCGTTCCAAAAGCTGCTGTGTCCCCACTGGCCCGTCATATTGGGCGGTTCCGGCGGCGGCGGAGGCGGCTGTGGTGGCGGCGGTCCCGGCGCCACCAACAACCGCCCCTCGCACACCCCGTCTCAGTCCGGACGCACGCTCATGACCGAGTGCATAGGACAGCACCAGATCCTGACGATGGCACCGACGACGAATTCCACGACACCGACGACGTCGATAGTTGGGACGACGACACCGAGACTGAGTGCCGTCGCATTGGCAGCGAGGTTGCCGTCGCCGGTGAGGGAAGACGACGAGAATCAGAGGAGTAAGTCGACGGACGAGGAACGCGACGATGACGACGACGACGACGACGATGAGCGGGATCCGGCGCCGGAAGTGGCGGTTGTTTTCAGTCCTGCCAACGGAACCGTTAATTTCGTCCACCAAAATAATGTACAGTACTGTATTCATAGTTTTTTTTATAGGTTCACTCTCGTTACGATATGAAAGAAATTTTTTGAAAAAAGTGGCAACAATAAATTTTTCTTTTTCTTGACCCTCCAAGAGTCGGCTATGAGCAAGAATTTTGTTGGAGAAAATCTCGAATGTATAAAATGATAGTAACATGATGAGTCCGGTTTCGATTTTCATTTTTCCTGCTGCTGCTGAGGAAATTTTTATAAAAAAAAAAAGATCTATGCTCTGCATGATGAATGATAACTTTCAAAATACATCGAAAAATAAGCAGAGACTTCTTGAAGAAGAATATAATTTATCTCCGAGAAAAAAAAAAACAGGATAAGATCGAAAAAGCTTAAGCTGCTGTTCTCCAGACGAACATTTTCAGATACAGTATATTTATATAGAATGTTTTCGAAGTTTGGCTGGAAGCCCAAAAATTTAAAGAGTATTGAGTAAAAGTCAAAAAATTATTCGCAAAAAATTAAAACTGCTACACTCCTCAAAGTATTTTCAGACTTTTACTTCTTCAAATTTTGGGGGTTGAGACATTTTGTGCGAAACCAAAATGCAGAATAGCACGCACAAAATAATTTTACATTATCATGCCCTGAAAAATATGCGACTGTTGCCTGAGGATTTAAATTATTTTTTAGATTCTTCTGTTATTCAAATGGTATAAAACAGAGATACTCCAAGTTTTGCGAAGTTTCCAATCTAACACGGTATATTACTGTACTGTAAAACCGTTTTCGTGTTTTTTTTCGATAGTCCATGATTGAGAAAATTTAAGAAACCTGTTTCTGAAATTTTTAGATATCATGAAAGTCACGAACTTTGATATATTGTTGCACATTCTTAGAAGCACTGCGTGGATTTTCACCGTATATATACATTTTTGCACATCACCGAAATTACACAGCTTGCATAATGACCACTGTTAATATTCAAAATTATGGGGTCTATTTGGTCTTAGAAATTTTTTTCTCTTTTTTTCACTGTGTGCCAGCAGATGCAGCAGCAATCTTGCAGTTTGCTGGATTAACAGGACCAGCCAGCTAATTACAATCCAGGTTGCTATATTTTAATTACTATTACCGACAATTCAAGTAATACCTTTGTGATGGGTTGGGTAGTGAAGGACAGACTTGGTAGAATTTGGATGCTTCGCAAAAGGTTCTGGGATGTGGCCTTTTACTCTATGACTCTGTTAGTTGACTACTGCTGAAGTAAATTGCCAATTATGTATTGTACAGTAGTTATACAGGTACTGCATTTTCAAAGCAATGAGTTGAAACCTTTCAATAAGTCGGATACATGCTGTACAGTAAAATTGCGTTACAACAAAACCCTTATATTGGATTAGTAAAATAGTTTTGTTATGACGAAAATTTTAAAATGTAGTACGTAATAGTAATTTATCTAACATGGTGGCTATTGATGGCCAGGGTTCTAAAAACGACTTCATTGTAAGCGATTAATTGCTGAAACGAGATTAGTTGTAATGAGATTCTTCTTTATTTCCTTCAGTCAGAAACTTGACCCATTTAATTTATAGTTTTGATGTTATTTGAAAGATTAGAAAATGCATTTCAGCAATTTGAAACCAGATTACAAGATGGATATTTTATTCTCACAATGCCAATAAAATCACTGGCCTCGGTTTAAGATGACAGTTAATTTTCCTTTGAAATT